CCCACCCCCTTATGAACGCCATTGCTGCATCCTAAACTCTTTTACAAAAACTATGTATTTATAAAAAAAATCTGATTTTGAACTTATTTCAAAGGGAATTCTTTTTCAAAGATCATAATGTCAAACGAAATATGTACATTAAATATATATATATATATATATATTAAAGCTTTTTTTTCTTGTCTAACTTTGTAAATTTTGGTATGTATAATGGATTTGATGTAATTATGCAGAATTTACAGGAGATAATATTTGTCGAATTTCTTCTTATTAATGTATCCAAATCGGTTCTGTTCGATTATTGAGCACAAATAACGGTCGACGTTATTTCTGTTCAGTCGTGGTTAGAGTCCTGGTATAACTTAAGACTCGAAGTGTAAAAGGTCTGATTCACGTTAGTTCTGTCGAAGTTCAAAGACCTCTTATTGGCGTAGTGTAGAAGTTTGAAGCTGGGTTGCCAATTCAAGAGTCGTATTTGTCGCTAGTATTTGGTTTAAAAGGACTAGGTTCGTTGCCAATAGTTCTCGTATTGCTTTAAAATGCAACGTTAATAAGCAATCAATAGATTGTGATGGACCTATACGCGTCCTTTCACCAACCCCTTGGGGATTCCTTTAGGGCAAGCATTCCTTCAACCAACTTTCACCGAGGGCAGGAAAACGTGATTATGCAAAGTATAAGTTTAATATATATATTCTGTATTTGCGAGATTTGAGAGTTAGTGAAGTGAGAGTTGAAGATTAGTGAAATGAGGATAGCTCGGATGTGAAGAGAATTGGTGGGAAGCAAATCGACAGTAATACGTATACGTAAACAGTGTACGACGCGTGAAGCTGGAATCTCGAAGTAAGGCTTAAGTCAACTATTAGTGTTTAAAGCCATGTTGAATAGTTTACAGATTGTAAGAATTCAGGTACTGTAACCTTTGTTTAAATAGAAGTTAGAGAGTTAAATCATTAATAAGCTTCTTAAATCAATCTTTGTATAAGTTATTGTAAGGATAGATTCTCATGATCGGATATATTGTCCCCACGCTAGCTTGTCTCACCTTTGTGCTCTAGTTGATCAAATTTATCTTAATAAGAGTGTGATTTGTGTCTGTGTTAAATATAGGGATAAATAAATAATTTGAATTCATCATGCCGTCTGATCATTTAGTTCCTCCTACACATCTAGCTGGGTTAGAGGGAAGAAGGAATAATAACTCCTTACAAGATATCAAGCGCAAATTTCAGCAACGTACACTTCGAAGGACGACACACAAAATTTGTGTAAATATTGGATTGGACAGAAAATAATTTCTGTTTGTACAAGTAGACACAAAAAAGCCCTTCACACTCTAAGGAAACGATTTCGGTATTTATAATAAATATAAGGCAACTATACAACTATAGCCATTTTTTTTTGTGCTTTTATACAAATTTTTAAAGCATGTTATAAACTTTATTCTTGTTCGATATAATAACTTGTATATCCTATCGAATGAAATTTTTGACGATGATTTTATCTTCATCCATCAAATCAAAATTGAAAATTAGATTTAATAAAGTCATCAGAAACAAGTTCTCTTATACACAGAAGAATTTTTATTTCGATCTATTGAAAACGATGCTTTATCTCTTCCCCAAGTTACACCGACACACCATAGACATGCGGACAGGATAATTGCCCATCAGAATCGACAATTGTATCTCCGCCGTCATCGCAGGACCTCAGCGGCGTAGGAAAAGAATCATGAGCGGTGACGCTTCATTTGAATATGAAAAGAGATCGCCGCCCGTGACAGCTTCTGTACTCCATTTATCACCCCTTTTCTCCACACGTGGATTAAGGGAAGTTTCTGAAACTTCCCAGAGAGAGAGAGAAAGCAAGAACTAATCAGCGCTTTCTTAATTGAGGCCACCCAATGAATCGGAAAACTTCAACCTCTTAACGATCCCAGTTATGAATTGGTTTTGTGTTTATTGATGGGCCTGTGTGTGCGGGTTTTGCAACAAGTTGGAGATTAATTGGGGTTCTATCTTATCGTCGCAAGGCGTGAGAAGTTCTTGGACACTCGAGCCCGGATAACCTGTTTCCTCACTTGTTAAAATTTAAAAATCAATTGTTTTTTTATATTACTGAAAATCATTAATAATATGGATTATTAATTGATGGATTGTCTTGTCAATCGCCCAAGTTTGTGAAATTTAATCTTGCTGTGATTTACAGACGTGGCTGTAAGGTCAAAGATCGTAATATGTGGGATTACTTTGGAAAAGGGTGAATAAAATTGATGTAAATATGTTGGGAAGTGATTGTAGAGAATCAATAGGATAGAGAGAGGAGAGAGGATACTGTATTAACGTCCTTGGTTGATGTCTGTTTGCAAAAAAAAAAAGGTATTGAGTGGTTTGGTAATAAAAAATTAAAAAAACATTTCATTTATTTAGCGTGTAGTATGTTTATGTGGGGACTATATATATAGTTCTGTATATAAAACGTATAATAAATTACATATTTGATTGATCGACTGCAAATGCCTTAGAGCTTATAACAAGTGGTCAGCTTGGTGGCTTAAATGTAACGTGGCAGTTTCGTCAGCCCATGATTGCGTGTTCGGCCCTGGCTGGAGTTGATAGATTTTCTGGATGCGAAAATCATAGACACGCATGTCATATGATTATGTAGCATGCAAAAGATCCCTTGAGTATCAATTTGGCTCAAGTACTCTCGGCAAAATATGATCATGGCAATATTTAGCATCGAATGAGAGATTGAATTGAACAAAATTCAAACGTCACAATTTGGTAGAGAGGCACCACTAGAGGATGCCACTAATGAAATGGCCTCCGCTCTTGGGGACTTGCCATGTCAGCAAATGTCTTAGCTGCCAAAATGCAGCCCATTTGAAACAAACTATTATGCCAAGTTAATTAATACCCAGGAAGACTGCGCTCATTAAGATAGGGGATTGATTGATTATTTTCTCTGCACTTCAAAGCCACACGAGGAATTTCGGCGTAGGAACTCCTCGGTCAAGTGATAAGGATAACAATAATAATGATAAAGATAATAGTAGAGTATACTTATAAAAAGTGAACATTTAAAGGGTTTTTTGTGTTCCACAATTATAAAATTAAGAATAGGGTAAAAACTTTAAAATTGAAAATTAAAATAAAATTCTTTCAATTTTGTATTCTGTTAAGTATTATGCTTAGTTATATACAATAAAAAATGTGCCTTTTTTGTATATAACTAAGGAACTTTTTGGGCAAAAAAATTAACCGCTTAAGGGGTTAATTCTTAAGTTTTGAGAGTTTTTATATGTAATTCAATAGTTTAAAATGAAAGATTTACTTATCTCTTAACTTTCTCAAATGTGACTTTGTTCACTTTTTGTGACTTAAAGTGTTTCTCAAACTGTGAACTAAAGTTAAAAAATAAACTCTGGCATATTGAAAAAACCTTAACTTTTTGTACATACTTTTTTACTTTGGGGAGAGCCGTATCTTTTCCACAAGGTGTTTCCGTTGAAATGCTCTTACAAATTCATCAAGCTTCACCTTCCTTTTGTGGCCACGGTAGCCAAGTGGTCTAGGCATCGGATCGTGGCTAGCGTGCCTTGAGTTCGATCCCAGTACCACTGAAGTCCCGCCGCTTAGGGGAGCGATGCACGTAAAATCTGTCGAGAGCTTTAACGTCCTCCCGTTGGTGTGGATAGGGGTGCCAGTTTAGGTGTCGTCCGCGTCTCTTGACCATGGTTCAAAATTACGCGGACCGTCCCCAAAAGCCCTCGAGTAACTGAACAGTGGGACGTTAATATTCACTCACTCACTCACTCGCCTTCCTTTTATTGATGAGTTGATAGTTGTGCATTAGATTAGTGAGAGAGATGAATTACTTTGGTTTTATTATAAAACTAAGGCGTGAGAAACGCTTGATCTCTTTTGATTTCATTGGAAAAACCGAGTTCAGATTCTCATTTTCTTCCAAGCTTATTTTCCATTGCATCATTAATAATCTCAGTCATTAACTGATTGTCTTGTCACTCTCGAAAATTTCCTAATTCTTCTTCTGTTATGAATCACTTAAAAATATTTATTACAAAATGTGTCTCTAATATTAGGGGGCATTACGTACTATTGTTATACAAAATGATGCCTGCTACATCTGCATGTTATTATAAGAGTCGACAAATAAGATTTTTCAATTAATCCTCTGAATGCCTAAAATTGTCGTAAATTCATGTTAGAAAATCACATCCTATTATAACTATACAAAATGCATCTGATTGATAAGTTGTATGTGAATTATCACACAAATTTTTCTGCATTAAATATTTACAAAAGGAAGACTTTATACTTCAAAATATGCCGTGCTTCATACAATGCGCTTCAAACAACATTTTCATAAGTGTGCGTGCAGGGGGTGATGTGGAAATTCGGGTAATAAAATTCAAGATCAGGTGTTACCTTTGTTATTCGACTGAGGCTCATCGACTCAAATTTAATTCACTCTGCAATCAGCAGAATATTTTAGAACCAATTTTTGAAGAAGAAATTCGAGACATATATGGAAAGGTAATTGAGATAAATTTGAGCTTCGCATGAACAAAATTTCTAGTCCCATATCTAAGTCAACTTATTTAGGGAAAAAAACAATCGGAAACGGGAGCAAAGTGTATTTCATTTGATGAAATACCTGTAAAATCAACTGTCGCTTCTCCAGTGAACTTTTATGCTTTCGGCTTATGCTCTTTAGGAAAATGGCATCCAAGAACACTGAACGGACTTTGGAAAACGGTTCAAGAGGAATGGAGTGAGTGAGTGAATATTAACGTCGCACTGTTCAGCTACATAAGGGCTTTTGGCAACGGATCGCGTAATTTTGAACCATGGTCAAGTGACGCGGATGACACCTGAGCTGGCACCCCTCTCCTAACTACCACACCAATGGGAGGACGTTTGAGCTTTTGACAGATTTAACGCGCATCCGGCCCCTACATGGTGGGTCTTCAGTGGTAATGGGGCTCGAACTCATGTCATGCTAGCCATAATCCAATACCTTGACCACTTGGCTACCGTGGTCACTCAAGAGGAATGGAATAAAAGTGGCATGACTGTACCAAAAAAGAAAAAGTTTACTTTCATGAAAAATTCTAGCTAGAGCTATTGTCACAAGAATAATGGCTATCAGACAGAATCAAATAGACACACAAAAAGTTAATTTGTAGATAAAAATTTACTCTCAAAATCGCTTCCATGAAGGGCGAACGGCCTCCTGCATATCCATCCGAAGGTGAGAAAAAGATGGATTTCCTATCGTCAAAAATAACTTAATCTGGTTTAAGAACAGAAATCTCTCACGTAAATTCATGTTTCTTTAATTACCTCTTCCCCTTTAACCCATTATAGGTGTAATAGACAATTGCTCCTCATTCGTGCGATTAGAGTACCCTTTCATTAACTTCCCGTCAATACCATCTTAAAATGTAAAAGACCTTTCTTAAACTTGTTTAACTTCATCGCCCTTGCGTAAACAACAACACGAAACCCGGTTCAATTATCATTGCCACAGAATCTCTGTCAACCGTAATTATCCAAGTCTTCTATATCTATCTCTGTTACAAAACAATGCAAATCAAGATAGATCCCTTAAATTTTCGTTCTTCGTTGCTCGGAATATTAAACTGGAGGGCACCCCGTGGAGAATAGCAATTACCCCGCATTATTCATCTTAATCGGCTGCACCTTTGGCTCGTGTTGCTACTGCAAGGTGGAGAAGATGGATTCGAGAGTAATTTGATAATTTCCGAGCATGACACGGCCGTATTACTCTTTCTTGCATTCGTTTTGGGTGTGGGTGTTAAATGTTGGATCGGCTGCCTCGTTTTACGACTCATTTACGCTTGCTTATTGGCAGCGGAGTCGTCTTGTTGCACTGCATTCTGGTACGAAGGCTTGTTTTGTTTAGTTATGACGATGGATTAATATTTTACGCTTTTAAAATTTTAATTTTCATTCACTTAATTTTTTTTTGTACTTTTGTTCCCACGTTTTTTTTATGAATAACTAATAATTTTATCTATGATTACAGGACAATGGTATTCAAACTTATTGCCCTCGTGATCCTATATGGACATTTTGCATTTTAAAAATGGGGTGTCCACTCAGGTGTCACTTTTATTGCTTGGCAATGACTCAAAATTAAAAGGTACGTTGCTAGTAGACTTTATATTGCTTCTTATGTGAATACGTTAATATTGTTGCTAATGCCACCTGTCTGACTGTGTCAGATCGAGGCCTTCGAAATTCATCACGTTGAAGAACGAGGTTGTACGCCTGTCGTTAGCTGTAGCTTTGAGCACAGTGCTGGTGACAGTATGATTTGGTTCGGTTCAACCCCAAATTTGAGACAGAACACCCAGGGGTAAATCGGCAACCTTCCACCTATCTTTCCCTTCCACCAGCCTCACGAGAAGACTTAAGGTCGAAGGCTATTTAGAGTACACCCTGCCGCAAGAGCACTATACATTTACAAACATCGATGCCTTCTCCGGGATTCAAACCCAGACCCTACGACTCAAAAGTCTGCATCGCTAGCCACCACACTGAATGGGCGGCTACAAATACGTTAATAAAATAGTCGAACGAAAAGGTGGCCGAGAAGCCTTAGCATCGAACTCGTTAACGGCAATGTATCAGTCGAGGTACCCGTTCGAGTTCTGATTAATCTTCATTCCAGACATTTCGAGTTTTAAACTAAATTTATTTTTGATTCTAATTAATTTCCAACAAAGACTTGCCATGTGTATATGGAATGTACAAGTACATTGTCTGGGTCCAATCGTGTCGATCTCATCCTCCAAAATTACGAGGCACACCTATAAGGAGGAGGGGTTTGAGGGCTTTCGTCTGTATGTTTTTTTTAGAATATATAACCCCCTTCCCCTTTTTACGCCTAAGCAATCCAAAGACCTGAAAGAAATCTCCTAGTTGATAAGTCGCCTGAGTATAAAATAATATCAGTGGCTTGAGGAAGAATATTAGGGCCCACCCGCAAAGTCGTTTTGGGCTCCAATTGGTTAAATATGTACTTGGCGTCAGTCCGGCTTCGGACCCCTAGAATCCTGCCCCCGCCCCCAGGTTGTGGGGGTTGCGGGGTATACTTTACGCCACTGAACAATATTCTCTTTGTTGTGGATATAAAAGCTTTAGTATTGTCCTTGTACGTTGATAGTTGTACGAATTACGAAATCCCTTATTTACAGCCCCCTCCCCCGTTTCTTCATGTGAGACGATAATTAAATCCAACGTTGGATAATTAATCAATGTTCTGTAATTAATAATCTTAGATGACGATTAGTCGAGAAACAAGAGAAATAAAACACATTAAAGACATGAGTATTACATCCCTTACGTTTAGATCAGAATTGACGGATCAATCCTTTAGTATTCCTTTGGTGAAATTTGGTGATGCCCCCGTCTTTGTTTACAATGCGTCGCTAAGATAGCACTCTACGGGAAGTGTTTAAATTGATTTGTGCCGGAGAATATTGAGTAATGGGCTCATCTTTTATAAGCGATGCATCATGGTGTTGCAGGGGATGGGTTTCACGGTCCCTAGCAAACCCTCGGGAATCCGGCGATGGTCGAACATCGTTTGTCAAGGAAGAACCCTCTCCAAACTTTCGTCTGCCCCCGCAAGAAATTACTGCACCCCCCTCTCTCTTTTTCGCTCCAGGAGCAGAAGGAAAAGATTTTTGAACGTGTTATTTTGAACGGAACATGTTCTCTCGGAGAATGAACAAAAATAACATTTCTTCTCTAAAAAGGTCTCCAGAACACTAGAAAAGGAAGAAATGTTTTTGGAATAAAAATAATAAAAAATAAGTCTCTTCTGTGTGTTTCGCAGAAACGAATTTGAGGTATTCTTCCTCCCTCCCCTCTTCTTTCTTTTTCGAGTAAGAAAAGAAAACGGTTTCTCTTATACTTGAGAATTCAGCTCCTTAAATTTGTCTGCAAATCGTTCTTTGTTCTGTACTGAGAAGAACGTTTTGACCTTTAAAACATTTAGTTACATTTTTTTATGCACTTCTCACAGGGTGTATTACTATTTCATTCGAAATTAACATTTAATAGTTACGCATTCATGCGTTAGAAAATTGGTTAACTTGATTGTGTATACCGTATTTATTCGAATCTATGCCACCATCGATTCTAAGCCGTACCTCAAATTCTCACCAAGTTTTTGTGAAGAGTGAAAAATAGTGTAAAAGTGTTTATCGATATCCAATTTTACGAAATTGGATTACATTTAAAATTAGAGGTCATAAAAAGTGAATAATTAATTATTTTACGTGTATTATCCAAGCTTTTAAATACATATATGAACCTGTAATTGCCCCATTGAACGAATTTTCCCCTTCGATTCTAAGACGCACCCGATTTTTAATAGCATTAAAATAGAAAAAAAGTGCGGCTTAGATTCGAGTAAACATGGTAATTATCTTTTTTATTTTAACCGTCTTGATATGGATATATTCAAATTTAATTCAAGAAAATATAATTTGATTCTGATTGAATTTTTGAATAAATTTCAGCAGAAAGTTATAAAAAAACAATTGATGTTTTCTTAAAGAAGTTTTTGCATTTGACTATTTATATTTTTTGTTATCGAGTCCTAGTGCCAATGAAGACTGGCAGTGTGGAGAAGCTAACGTTGTTAAATCTGCCAAAGTTCAAAGATTACATTGATGTGGTGTGGAAGTTTGGAAAGTAAGGTACCAGTCCAGATATCGGCATCGTCATTTAAACTAGGTCGAAAATTACGAAATTCGTCACCAATTGCTTTTGAATTGCTTCTAAGTCCGATGGCAACCTAATTCATACCATTCTAAGAACAACCGCTGAAATTTGTTGAAGTTGCCAATGGCCAATGCAACCGGAGCAAATAAGCTCCGATTTAGTATTAGCGCAATTCAAAATAAACATTGGAACAGCAGAAAAATCAAGTTTTAAACTGAACATAAATCAGAAATTAATTAGTATAATTATACGACTTCAATGAGCTTATTAAAAAAATTCCAATTTTCTAAGACTTGTACAGACGGGAAAAAAAGAGTAAAATGTTTTTATATCATCAGATGTATCAAACTTAAATGTCTTTTGTTTCATAATTTTAATAATATATTTTATAACAAACTTTTTATTACTTGAATATTTGCTCTGAATATTAATTCTAAAAAAATGTTTTCATGTACAAGAAACTCACACCTCAAGTTTTCTTTGAAAAAAACGAAAGAAAAATGTTAATCTTAGTTTGCTAAATTACTAGCGTATAACTTGATATAAAATTATGTTTATTACACAAGTTGTAAAAATATCTTTTCTCATTAGCAAAATTAATTTTAAAAATTTGGGTAATAGACTAGATAATTGTGATAATGTGAAGATAATGTAAAAAGATAATGTGAAAACCATTTTATTTACCTCTACACTTGGAGTTATATTTCCATAGATATATATCTCTCTCTAGTGTATACTTTCATCTGATTTCGACATTTATTCTATTTCAACTTTATAAATCACTTATTAAGTGTAATTTGACTAAAGATCTTGAATCAAAAGCTTAATAATTGATGGTATGAAGATATAGTTATTCATTTTCATAGTAGAAACAATAAGTAAAATTATTTTTAAAAAACAAATTTCTTTTAAGGCGAAAACGTTTAAATTGAATTTAAACGTTTACTAAAAAGATTAAATGAATCTTGAACTTTAAAATTTTGTCAATAATAAAAGATAACCTTTAGATTTAAATACTGCTATTTGATTCCAAAATACATCTTTGCATTCGTACTCTATGTACGGCCAGTTACCATATAAAAAGCTGTATATTTGTATAATAGATTTTAAAAGTGGTTCGCAACCATGGGATGCCAGATACTTTCTACCCTAACAAAATATAAAAAGGCCTTGAAACCTTTAAATTTTTTTATCAGCCGCTTAAACTTGATTTTTTTATTCCTTAAGGGTATTTTTTTTTTATCAAAGGAAGGTGCGAAATATTTTTTTTTAAAA